TTCTGCACTGGCAGAAGTTACCACAAAGAACTCCTCTTCTCAACCTTTCCCCTTACCTGAGGTGTGGTCACTCTCAGGTTAAACCTCCTTCAGTTCTCTCTCTCTCTCTCTCTGTCTAATGATTGAGCAACCCTATGGTCTGGTAGGACTACAGTGACTTTATAACAGTTTACATTTAGGCAGGTCTCTGATGCATTCCTTGCTGCTGTTGTCCTTCTGTCATATCTGTCTCCTGTTTGGTTATGCCTTGTTGTAGTCTCTGTATGCATCTTTGGAGCTAGGCTTCTTGCATAGGTGGTCCTTATATATCACATATCTTGCATAGCCCTGCAAATGTAGGATAGCTACATGATGGGTGCAATAGACCACACATACCACACTGCTTGCTTGCTCTTGGAGTCCTAGCTACAGTGTTAATACCGCTTGCTGCATCTAATGCTTGCAGGTGCTGCTGAGTAGCTACAACAATCTGATAAGCAGTGATTTAAGACTGTGACCGTTCTTTTTTCCAAATAGCCTTTCTCTAATGCTTCAATCGGTGTGGACGCAATCACCAACTCCATTATCCACTTCATCTGTTCAGCTTTAGAAGCATTGCACTCATTGTCTTGTTACAGTATTGACTGAAAAATTGGTCCCTGTGGCTTTTACCTATAAAGAACCAATTTGAAATGATAAGTTTTCAAGTTGACTCTTGCATGCATCTTATTTTCTGGGACTGTCCATATTTACATAGGATTTTTCAGGTCTCCTTCAGAGGCATTGACTCTGTGCAACCCCTCATTGTTAACTACTGTCAGTAACTTCACAGCTTGTTTACCTGACTCTGCAACTGTTTGGGCGATGTAGCATAGCTGCATCCTTTATTTAAAATGTTGAACTTGTATAGTAGATCAATAGCTTTCCAGTTCATGCTGGCATGATTTGGTATCTATCCTTCTGTGCTTCCAGATGTGTACTTAGTGCTCCTTGTCTATTGGCATGAAACTTGGTCTAGATTTTGCATTGCTGACTCTGTACTGCTCTTAAATGCAGACTACTTGTTTCACTTTATTTGAATTTCTGCATGCTTTTGCTTAGTTCAAATGGGGCCGACTCCCACTGGCTGTGCAAATTTGAAATAAGATTTAAATAGATTAAGTTTAAGTCAGCTGGCATAAACCCAGTCAACTTGGAGGTACTCACAATTTGCAAAGAAATCCTAGTTTCTTTTTTTTGCTGCACTATGGAATTTCTAGATTACTGTCATAGTTTGTTTGCAGTTGCCCGCTTGGCCTTCAAACTTTTAATGTTGGTTTCTTCTTTGTTTTTTTCATGAAGGAAAAATATCCCATGCAATAATATTGCTGTGTTGATTAAAGTTAACGCAAATGCAGTACGTGTACTTAAATGTCCAGAGAAATCCTGTGTCTCAAGTGTTACAGAGCAGAGATAACATTCTGGTACTTGATTCATTTGCACTTTGACCTCTTAAAGGGACATGACTCCAAAAGTGATAAAACAATCCGGAAAAGTTGTTACAGAGCGGTGGTAGTATCCCTCCAGGAAGTCTGAATTCAAGTCCTGCCTGTCCGAGATGTGTGTCAATTCTGAAGAAGAGTCACTGGATTTGAAACGTTAACTCTGCTTCCTCTTCACAGATGCTGTCAGATCTGCTGAGTTTCTCCAGCAACTTCTGTTTTTTAATGTGCCACATCATGTTAGATAGAGGAAGTAGGGTAAGAGAAGGAGGCTCAAATTGAGTGAAGTGTCATTTCTATTCAACAGATTGTCTGGAAGTCTATGAAACAGAACATTTGTTTTGTCTGACGTTAGTGGTAATGGCAGCTCTGACCTTGTTGATAGCACTTACTAAAAAGTTGCTGGTGGGACGTGGGTGTCGCTGGCTGGGCCAGCATTTATTGCACATCCCTAATTGCCCTGGACAAGGTAATGATGTGCTACCTTCTTGAATTGCTGCAGCCTGTATGGTGCAGGTCCACCCATAGAGCTGTCGGCACACTGTTACTAAAGGGCTGTTGGCACTCCATAGTATTTCTGCCTGCGTGTTAGAAATTGTTGGTTCATGTCCTGTTGGAGGTGCCAACCTTTTGCTGAGACATTCAATATCCCTCTGACCTCTAAGATACCTTTGAAAGATCTTGTGGTACTTTTCAAACAAGAACTGGGGAACTGACCTTAGAGTGCTGGCCAATATTTATCCTTCCAGCCACATTACTAAGTAACAAAATATCCACTTATTGCCACACTGCTATTTGTGGGACCTTGCTATGTGCAGACTGGTATCTATATTTCCTACACTAAAGCATTAACTACACTTTGAAGGTGCCTTATTGGCTGTCGCATGGCAGAGTCCAAAACGAGGAGGCACAGTTTAAAGGGGCCTCCTATTTATGACAGCAATGAGGAGGATTTCCTTTGCTAGGGAGGGTCATTAATAACAAACATGTTCTGAGGAAGAGTCACTGGACCCAAAACGTTAACTCTGTTTTTTCCTTCACAGATGCTGCCAGACCTGCTGAGCTTTTCCGGCAACTTCGTTTTTGTTCCAGATTTACAGCATCCGCAGTTCTTTTGGTTTTTATTAGGGTCATTAATAATTTGAATTCTCTATCCCAAAGCACAGTGGAAGCTGGATCACTCGACATCGCAAGCCTGAGGTAGACAGGAAGTGCATCAAGAGTTATGGAGGATGGGCAGGAACATAGTGATAAGGCTATATGCAGATCACCCATGATCCTACTGAATAATGCAAAAGTTTGGAGGTGTAAATTGGACTTCCCCTGCTCCAAATTCTCAGGCTAAAACTCCTTAGAAAGTGATAGCAAACATGATATCAAATTATGAAGAAGTCATACTGGACTTCAAATATTAACTGTTTCTCTCCACAGATGCTGCTAGATCTGTTAAGTTTGTCCAGAATCTCTGTTTTTGATAAAAAAGCAATCTTTCTTTCAGAAAGACCCCAAAACAGTTTGCATATTACTAGAAAGGATAACCACTCTTTGAATTTGCATTATGAGAGATTTGAAACATTTTATTAATGCTTTGATATTAACATAAACAGATGACCAGTATTTCACCCCCAAAATATCTTTCATTCATAAAATTTGTAAAAATGCATGACAAAACATTTTAAAACTTGAAAATTACAGAACATGCACTAAAAATTTGGCTTATCCCCCATGCAGCATGTTCCACTTTTCCATGCCGCTATTGGAATACTCTTCATTATTGAAAACATACAGAGTCATAGTGCCACACAGTGCAGAAACAGACCATTCAGCCCAACTTGTCCATGCTGACAAGGTTTCCTAACCTGAACTAGCCCTGGTCAGAAATCATACCACGCCAGATTATAGTCCAGCAGATTTACTTCACCTGATGAAGGGGCTACCCTTCCAAAGCTCATGACTTCAAATAAACCTGTTGGACTATAACCTGGTGTCGTGTGATTTCTGACCTTGTCCACCCCAGTCCAACACTGGCACCATCGCATCAGAACTAATCCCGTTTGCTGGGTCTGGCCCATATCCCTGTGGCCTTGAATGTTGTGACATGTCCAGCACTCATCCAAGTAGCATTTTTTTAAGGTTGTGAGGTTTTCCTCCTCCACCTCCCAGGGACGGCATTCCAAACACCCACCACCCTTCGGATGAAAAAAATATTCCTCAGACCTCCCTCCTGCCCTTCACCTGAAAATTATACCCCTTAACATTACCCAGCATCTCCCGTTGAACGAAGTTTGTAAAATAATGAGGTAATGGATAGAGCTAATGGTAGTTGTCCTTTCTCTAGGATGGGAGATTTCAAGATTGGGGGACACATTTTTAAGGTGAGATGACAGAGATTTAAAAGAAAAGACATGAGGACAAGGGTGTCTGGGGCTGGGGGAGAGCACATTGCTGCTGCCTTGTCCTGCTCAGATGTAATTTAGTTACAGACTCTATCCTCAAAGAGTTAAAGGAAAGGGATTTTATTTTACCTGGGATTTCACTTTTTCTTAATTTGGATCTAGGGATAGGGAGGGGGTGGAGGTGATGACGATGGTGATGTCTGATGTCACTGTGGAGAACCCACCCCCAACCTGCAGCCAATCCTGGATAAGTCAGCCAGGGGAGATTTAAAGAAAGATCTCCTAATTTGGAGAGTGCGACCCCACCCCCTGACTGTCAATCGGGGGCGGGGGAGAAGCAGCTTCTGTCTCGCTCGCTCCGTTTTCTCTCTCTCTCTCTCTCTCTCCCCGGGGTGGGAGGGAGGGAGGGAGAGTTGGCAAATGTTGGAGCCCGGGAGAAGGAGCATTCCTCTGGGGTAGGAGAGGCACAAAGACTCGGGAAAAGGAGGGAGGGACCTGGTTGGGGCGGGTTGGGGGTGGGGGGAGTGGGGGGGCTGTGAGAGAGAGAGAAATTGAGAGAGAGAAGGAGAAAGAGGATAGGAGGCAATTTGTGGATCTGCAAACCACGCTGGTCTCCCCCAAGGGAGGGAGGAGGAGTGCAAGAGAAAAAAACCCTCCTCAGCTTTTGGCTCTCATATGGATAACTCACTATTCACAGCGCTGCTTCGAACGGGGTCTGCAGTTACATTCTACACCTCTCTCTATCTAGGTACACATCAGTCCACAAATATTACATGCATCCGCTTTCAACTTTACGCAGCTGAATTTGAAGACCTCTTTCAAGCGGAGAAACAAAAAGCCAACATGTTAATTTCTCAGTGAAAGCGATTTTTATAAGTGCAAACAACTCTGCTACGTTGAGGGAAGTGGCAGAGAGAGAGAGAGAGAAGCAGATCAGTTGACTGGTCCGGGATCTGTTATACCTAGCCGGTAGGCAGCGAAAGACAGGGGGAAAGGGTTTGCACTGAAACTGATACGCCAGACTTACACAAAACAAGGGGAAACAGCCTTGCAGAATTAACTATTGTGTTTCTCTTTGGAAACGCACAAGACAGCAAACACACACGCACACACACACAGACAAGACAAACAGAAGGCTGCTTTGATGTTTGCCATCCAGGACACCATACCAAGAGGTGGTATAGCCATGAAGGAAGAACCTTTGATTGCTGGGCTGAATCCTGCCAGGACCTGGATACATTCCGGCGGGATACTGGATGCGAACACCGCGGCTCAGAGGTTAGTCGGAACGCTTCCCAGTTCCTATTTTTTTTCTATTTCCAGTCAGGAGGAGGAGTGCTTGTGGTTGTGTTTTCAGTACAGATTCCAGCATCTGCAGCAATTTCCTCCTACATTACTGTCATTTTTACCCCCTCTTGCTTGTTGTCCCTGGGTGCCACATACCAATTTCCAAATCTTATGCCCAGCTCGGATGACCAAGAGCTGCAAACTCTCTCCATGCCCCGTTCGTACTGTGTGTATCTATTTGTGTGGGTGTGTATATCTATTTGTGTGGGTGTGTGTCTGTGTGTGTGTATGTGTATCTATGTGTGTGTGTGCGTGTGTATCTGTGTGTGTGTCTGTCTATGTGTGTGTATATGTGTGTGTGTGCATCATTCCTCGTTGTGTTTTTTTTTAAATTTCTGTCGTCCGGGGGAAAATTCGATATCAAGTCCTGGTTATTTTACCCACCCGGTGTCTATTTAGATCAGACTTTCTTTTCCTGCCTCCCTCCCTTCGCTTTCTTAGTCTCTATTTCTCCCCCTCTTTCTCCTTCCCTTCTTCCCGTCCACAATCCCTTTCTCTGCTTTCCATTCCCTTCTTATTTGTTGTCCGCTTGCTTCCTCCATCTCTTTTTCCCCCGACTTTACTTTTCTCATTTTTAAAAATCGCGTCCCTCCCCATTTTCTGAGTAATTTTTTTTAATAATCGCGCTTTGGAATATGTCATTTACCTCTCCGCTCTCAGAAAACCGTGCCTCGAAAACTTTCTGTCCTTTGTTGGAAATAGAGCAGCTTTGAGCGAAATGCTTTGTATAAAACTGAGTGCTTTACTTCTGGGAATCTCGTTTAGAGTTATTATGTTTTATCCTTGTTTCCGATTTATCCCCCCGCCTCGTTTATTTTACACAATTCATATTCCCTAACATATAACGTCCTAAACAAGACACAAAGTTTCCTCATTTTTTATCCGTTTAATTTCTCGCATCACTAATCTCTCCTTTTTCTCTCTTCCATCTCACAGCTTTTATTTCAACACCATCTTTTCCAAAGTAATCTCCATAACTTGCAAAATAAACACGAAAAGCCTTTTTACTAAAAAATATGACACGTCGCTTAGTTTCAACTATTTAAAACTTATAGATGTGTGGGCTTTTTAAAAAAAATATATAAATTAATTCATTGGTGTTAAAAATGTGAAACATGAGTGATGCACCGCAGATTTAACTCAACATTTCAAAAAAGAAACGTCACTTTCCAAGCTTCAAAGTAAATAAAAAGGTTGATTTCACTTTCCACGGGTTGTAACCGATTCAACTCTCCGTTCCTCTTCCGTTTACTTTCAGTTGTTTTAAGATCCGCCTTGTTACAAACACCTTTAACCGAAGCCCTTGTTCTCTCTGCTCGCAGTGGAGTCGGTTTAGCCCGGTCACACTTTGAGAAACAGCCGCCGTCCAACCTCCGCAAATCCAATTTCTTCCACTTCGTCTTGGCTCTGTACGACCGGCAAGGTCAACCTGTGGAAATTGAGAGGACGGCGTTTGTTGACTTCGTAGAGAAAGACAAAGTAAGTTGACTTCTTTGATTATTTACTTTCTCACTTTTCTCTCTGTCCACCTTCCCCCCCCCCACCCCATCACCCCCCCCACCCCCACTATCCATCCTTACTGTTTCCCTTCAAATCCCCCAATCTCTCCCATTTCCCTTCATGACTCCATCTCTCTTTTTGAGTTCTCAATTACCAGCTTTTTATCGTTTTGGCCTGAAGTTTTAGATGTCAGTTCCTCTGGTTTTATTTATTGCCACTTGAGTGTTACGTTTCTTAAACTCCTGGCAGTTCTGTGCCTTTCCCCTTCCTATTTGTCACAGATCCTCAAAACTGATTCCTTTAAAAGAAACCTAATTGGAAAATGTCCCTTTAGTCTACCTGTTTTTTTCCCCCTACTCTTTCTTAAATAAAAACATCCTGCTCCTTCCCTACCTTCAGAGCCGATACCCCACACCCAAACGTACTCGGAGCTGAGCACAGGAGATAGAAAGGGAGAGAGCTGTTGATAACAATTTCTCGCCGTCAGTGTCTGACTCTGAAACGCATTTAAGCAAAAACAAAAACAAAACCCGGCTCTGATATCAACCCGACAATCGCGCGAAATTCATCAGCCTCCCATTTCACTTCTGTTTGTTGAGGGTAAAACTCAAGTTTGCGTTTGGGCGACACGCGAATGCAGCTTGCATTCGATCCGAATTTAACGCCTTTTTGTGCTGTCGTCCGCAGGAACAGAACGGAGAGAAAACAAACAACGGTGTTCACTACAAGTTACAGCTTCTCTATAGCAACGGTAAGACACTCTCTCTCCCTCAGATTGCAACAAACAGCGCCAGAAATCTAAAAGGAACGCCACAAACTTTCCCCCCAAAATACCCCATTTTGCCATGTTTGAGGTTCGAGTTTAATTGCACGGGGAAACTACTTTTTTTTTAAAGATTGAGCTACATAAATAAATAACTATTATTAAACAGCGAGGATTGAGTAAGCAGAGTCAATTACAAACTTCAATTTTTTTTCAATGCACTATGCGAGGAAACAAAACTAATTTCAATCGTTTGGTAGTGATGTGCTGGAGTATTGTTCTGAAAATGTACACCACAAAAAAAAAGTATTTTTTTCAAGAACTACTCAAAATTATTTAGTGTTGAAAACTCCTAAAATAAAAACACTACCAATCAAAGATAGGAACTCCGGCTCAGGACGCACGCTGGTATCTAGTGCTGATGTTGATATTTACTGTTTGGAATTGTTGACATGTTTATATATTCTGCTACAAAACAATCTCAACAGCTTCAGTCAGAAGGCGCGATTTGTACAACACAGCGAAAATGAAATGAAAAGAACCAAAACAACTGTGGATGCTGTAAATCAGAAACAAAAAAAAACAGAAATTGATGGAAAAGCTCAGCAGTTCTGGCAGCATCTGTGAAGAGAAATCAGAGTTGGCGCTTCGGGTCCAGTGACCCACCAAGAAATGAAATTATCTGAAAACTTCTGTGCAAAAACTTTATACCAAGCTGTTTAAAAAAAAAACCCTGCATCTACATATAGATTTTCCGACGCTTAGGGAAATAATAATTTCATAAATGTATTGGAGATTTTCTTTGTTTTAAGAAGTAATTGTTGTTACAATTGGTCATGGGCGTTTAAGCCTCAGTTGAAGAGGAATTGTTTATGTAAGAAATCTATGCTGCCCTTATTTAGCATGACATTTGCGTAGGTCTATTTTCAATCGCGCTGTCACTTGTTTTATTGCTGTCAATTCTGAGAATGTTTTAAAATCGCGTAGTTAATATGTAAAATACTAGATCTGTTTATGTAGACGCTTGTGTATGAGAGATTTAACCGCTGAATTCGCTCTCACTGTTAATACACGTCCTGTAATATTTCACTCACCGCATCCCCCCCCCGCCACCCCCACCAACCCCCAACACACAAACACACAAACACACACACACACACAGATATACATAATTGCCAAATAACTTGAATGAACGACTGGCTTCTATCCCGTTACACAAGTCGCACGATACCTTCCAATCCGCAAGACAGTAACAATATGGTACTATTGGCAATGTCACTTTGTTCTGTTACAGCCAGAGTTGGAGACTTGTGGTCTGGTACTGAAATTCGATGTCTGACTTTCCCCCTCACCCTGGTCTGAAAGTATTTAAACAAGGGAGTGGAGAACCAGTGACTGCCTATAATGTACAGAGGGAGGGAAAGGAGAGAGGGAAAGTGGAGAGGGCAGCAAAATAGAAACCCGAAAGGCAAGAGTGAAATAGAACGAGGGAGATAATGGGATAAGGATAGGGGGAAGACAGGAAGAGTATGCAGGGGAGACAGATTTGGAGGGAAAGGAAAGGTTTGAGGGAATGGGGAAAGGTGGACAAGAGGTAGAGAAAGGGCAGTGGGGTGGGACTAAATGTAAGACTTATAAATTTACTAATCTGAAATAATTAAAAAAACACGCTGGGAATGTGCAGGACGTCCGGCAGCATCCATAAACAATAGACAGCTTGACTTTGACCATTGAAACACTTCTTTCATTAACATTGAATGGCTATAGTGTGTTTTAGTTTTGTAAACTTGTATGATTCTCTGCTCTCCTTGCTGAAGAGAAGCTCATTATTTTAAAACACCGAAATTACATTTTCCCTTAAATAAAAATATTGGTACTGTCATGTTATTGTAAGGGATGGGTCTGAGAGATACAACACGTTGAAGTACATTTCACTGAATTTACTTCATGCTTTTTTCCCAGGAATCCGAACAGAGCAAGATTTATTTGTACGGCTCATAGACTCAATGACCAAACAGGTAAGAGTTGATTTGCTGTGTCACATGCACGCGAGACAAATCTGTCTGATAATTCACTGTTGACAGTTTTAAAAATAAATAATGCCTCTCAATTTAATAAATTTATCCAGGCAAAAACCAAACTGGTTCATTAATATAACACAGCTGTTTTGACTTTTCTCTTGTCTGAAAAGAGGTGTTTTTTGCAACGATTTATTTTGCCACCTTGCATGATTTTCAAATTGAATTATGTTTTGAAATGGGTAACGTAACCACCGTGGACCCACGCTGACGATGTGGTGGGTCTGCCTTGATTTGCTATTAATAGCAATAAGGCAAGCCATTGAAGTATTGAACTGTTGTTGTCTTCTGTTTTTCTTCGCGGCTGATCAATAATTACAAGATGCGTCCTTCAGTGTCGCCACTGAAATTAATTTCGACTTCGGAAGGATTCTCTTGCCACCACTTCCTTGCCAACATCACCACCTCCTCTTCTCCCCCTGGGTGCATTGTCTGCTCATGCACAGCTTTGTCGCAGTGCTGCAGCGAGGGGCTATATGGTTTTACTGCACACTCTGTAGTCGCATGACGTGCAAGTTGGAACTGATCGATCTTCGCATTGGAAATGACCGTATTGGTTGCAAATCATGGAATGTTTGGTCCAGTTGTTTAATTTTTATTGGATTAATTTATGAGCAGGGCAGTCGTAAGAAAGTGACGAGAGATTTATTCACCTTTTTCTTTGTAGTTTGGAGATTTGCAACAAAAAGTGAGACATTAACATTGGCACTTTAAGTAATATTTCAATGATTTTCTTTGAAGGCAGCTTTGAGATATTGTATTTCAAATTCAGCTAACTATAAATGTGAAACATAGTTCCACCTTTCTTGCCTTACCAGTTATAAAATTCCAGAACCGCACTACTCAAATTATACATTCTTATTGAGGTGTAAAGCGCTCCCATATTTAGCTGACATTTTCTTATTCTGTCACTTTTTTTTTAGTCTTCATTCTGAGGGATGTTAATCATGAGGTAAATTCCTTACAGCTTCCAATGTAGAGATTCAGTGCCCACGCCAAACACCCCCAGCTCAGATACAGCACATTGTCAGATGCAGGGAAAATCTCTCTCTTCACTGCCCCACTAAATAATCCCAGGTCAGGCATTGCACGGATTTGATACAGAGTCAAAGTCCAAAACAGTTCCCCATCACATACTTCCAGACTGTGTGCAGCTTGGATTAGATATAGAGTAAAACTTTCTCTACACTGTCCAATCCAAACACTCCCACTGGCAGCTACAACTCTTGTTCTATTTCACCCTTGCAGTTTCACGTTTCTATTTTGCTACCCTCCCCACAATGCCCCACGAAAACCCCCCAGTGCAGGTACAGCACGAGGTTGGATTAAAAAAAAAATCTTCTGGGGTTGTGGACATCATTCACAAGGCTGCCATTTGTGACCAACCCTAGTTGTTCTTGAATTGATTAACTCTCTAGGCCATTTCAGAGGGCGCTTAAGAGTCAACCACATTCCTCTGGGTCTGGAGTCACATGTAGACCAAACGGGGTAAGGACAGCAGATTTCCTTCCCTAAGGGACATTAGTGAACCAGATCTTTTTTTAAAAACAATCCATGGTCATCATTGCCAGGCTCTTAATTGTAGATTTTTATTAAAATTTTGTTTATTTTCACCAGTTGTCAGTGTAGGATTTGAACCCATGCCTCTAAATATTAATCTGAATTACTAATCCAGCGACCACGATGCCTCCACCTTTCCTGATACAGAATATAGCCCTGTCTGCACTGTCTCCAATGAATAGTCCCAGGCAGTGGACCAGGGAGTAAGACACAAAGCTTCCTCTACACTGTCCCCATTGCACACACACACACACACACACACAGGCCAGATACAAGACATGTTAGATGCAGACAGAGTAAATCTCACTCTCCACTGTCCCCATCAAACAGCCTCAGGGCATGTACAGTATGGGATTTGTTGCAGAGTAGAGCTTCCTCTTGTTCCTGTATTTCTATTTCTTAGGCAAGCAATCTCCATGCATCAGTTTTGCAAGTTAATAGCAATTGGGACTATTTGTATATTGCTGGTTAATAAATGCAGGCAACGTATTTCATAAGCAGGTAGAAGAGCCATATTTTAAAGCCATTGCATTGAATTTGTATTTGGCCATTGACATCCAATTCTGAACAGGCTACATCACCACGAATTGGATTTCACTTCCATCATGTGAGAACAATTTCTTACAAGTATCTGAGAGCAGTGAGCTCATCAAGCCTCGTGTTGGTTACGATTTGTCTAACTGAATTATTTCAGATGGCTATAAGTGTTGAGAGGGTGATCGGAGAGAAACTGTTTCCTCTGCTGGTGTTGGTGGGAGGGGTGAGAGTTCAGAATTGAGTCACGTGACCTCAAATGTTACAGCCAGTCTCCTTAGAGGTGATGCCAGGAACACCCCTTCATACAATGGACAGTGGAAATTTGGACACTCTCCCATAAAACAGTTGTTGGACGGTGGATTGAAAAGGACAAAACTGTGACTATATTTTTGTTGGGAAAATGTACTAAGGATTACAGAAATCAGGCCAGTAAATTGAATGGTTGAGCAACTTGGAAGGGCTGAGTGGATTACTTCAGTTTCCATTATAATCGAAGAAAGGCAGGTGCTAAAGAGAAACACAGATCACCTCAAAGTGCAGACATGAATATTGGAAACACAGATTTTGTTTCTGCCCTAATGCTTAAGGATCATTATCTTGGGATAAATTCCACTTTTACTTTTACTCTCAAAGTGCCGTCTTTCCTAGAATCAAGACAGCTGTTTGTATCAAAAAGAGAAAATATAAAAATGCTGCTGTCCAAAATGATCATTTCTTTTACTCCTCAAGCCTTTCTTGTCAGTAGGGCAGAGCAAAATATGGAAGTAATCCATATGTAGGCTGCAATGATGGGCTCACAGATTTGTTTGCCTACTATTAGCAATTGCGTTTGTAACCGTCGTCCAGAGCCAAAATACTTGCTTCAACTTGTAATGTGTTAATTAGGCGGAGATTGTAACATGTTCAATGCACAGAGACAGCTGAGCAGATCGAACAGTTGTCCTCCTAGATGAAAGTTGAGAGTTTGCGTCTCACGTCTGTCTCAGGGGAACATAAATTTTAGCAGTGCCACTATTACAGGGTCGTAGTATGATCCTGAACAAAACAGGCTGTTTGACTCATTGTGTCTGCGCTGACTCTGTGGTACAGCTATCTGGTTAGTCCCTCTTCCTATTCTGTTCAGTTCCTGAGTATGATCTCTGAAGCCAGATCCTTGGCTCATTGTTTGCTGACGCTTCATTCTGAGCTGCTTTTCTTGGCAGCTTTAGTGGTGGTGACTAGCCATTGCCTTCCCCTTCTATCCCCATAGCCCTTCAAGTATTTATTCAATTCCCATTTGAAAGTTAGCACTCAATCTGCTTTCATCACCTCTTCAGGCAGTGCACTCCAAATCACTGTAATTTGCTGTGTAAAGAAATATTTCCTCACATTGCCTCTAGTTTGTTTGTCAGTCACCTCTTTATATATCAGTAAGGAGCAGGATTAGACCATTTGGCTCCTCAAACCATTTTACAAGTTGATCTGATTGTAATGTCAAATCTATGCAACCCCCCCGCCCCACCAATTTCCCCACTCAAGAATCTATTCAATTCTGCCTTAAATATTTTCTAGAATTCTGCTTTCCAAAGACTCTCAACACTGTAAGAGTGAAATATATTTGCCTAATCTGTTTTAAATAGGTAACACCTAATTTTAAACAGTGATCCCTGGTTCTAGATTCTCCCACAAGATGAAGCAGTCTCTCCACACCTACCCTGGTAAGACTGTCAGGCCAATCATCAAGTTCCTTTTATTGCTGAAGGTCCTGCCACTGGTAACAATTTCTCCTCATTTATTTCATGAGAATAACTTATGATTTTGAGTACCTCTGATGACAACATCTCCAGCTCCTCCCTTCTCTCTATTACAACTGGTGCTATATTCAAACAAATAGTCTCTGCACCAAGACTCTGGTACCCTGTTTCTACTATTGGAACAGGATCATTTTGCCCACGTCCTGCAAAAGAAATAGAGAAAAGGCTCATCTCCTAATCTTAGCATATACCTTAGTTCCTTTCTTACTGCTTCTCTTGGGGCAGCATGGTAGCTGAGTGGTCAGTGCTGCTGCCTCATAGCACCAGGGTCCCAGGTTTGATTCCAACCTCGGGCGATTGTCTATGTGGTGTTTTGCTCTTTCTCCCTATGTTTGTGTGTATTTTCTCTGGGTGCTCCAGTTTCCTCCCATAGTCCACAGATTTGCAGGTTAGGTGGATTGGCCAGGCTAAATTGTCCCGTAGTGTCCAGGAATGTGCAGGCTAGGTGGATTAGCCACAATAAATACAGGGTTGTGGGAATAGTGCAGGGGGTTTGGGCTGGGTAGGATGCTCTTCGGAGGGTTGGTGTAGACGTGATGGGCTCAATGCCTGCTTCCACACTGCAGGGATTCTAGGATTCTACATCTGCTCCCTCTTTCCCACATCTCTTGCAATGTTTGAACCTCTGTAATTAAATATCTGCCCATTCCACAGCACTGACATTACTCTCAATGTTATCATCTGCTGTGACAAACCATCCTTTGTTCTCCCCAACTCAGGGCCGTGAAGTTGTAAAGTTTTTACAGGATGGAATTAGGCCCTTCAGCCCACCGTGTCTGCACCAGTCATCAAACAACCAACTATTCTACTCCTGTTTCCAGTACTTGACATGTACCATTGTATGTTACGGTGTTTCAAATGCTCACCCTAATAGATATTAAATGTCTGGAAGGTTCCTGCTTCTACCACCCTTTAGGCAGTGAGTTCCCAGATGTCCACAATCTTCACCGTGAAATGTTTTTTGCCTCAAATCCCCTCCGAAACACCTGTTCTTTACCTTAAAACTGGGACCCACAGCCATTCGTCCCTCTTCTGGGGCGAGAGGTTTTA